AACACTGCTATCATGTCTCCCATAGTCCTTCTTTTCATTAAACTACACATACTCAGTTTCTGCAACTGTTCTTCATATGTTTTGGCCTCCAGTCCCCTAATCATCTTTGTTGCTCTTCTCTGCACTCTTTCTAGAGTCTCCACATCTTTTTTATATCATAATACCAAAACTGAATGCAGTATTCCAAGTGTGGCCTTACCAAGGCATTATAAAGTGTATTAACACTTCACGTAATCTTGATTCTATCCCACTATTTATGCAGCCTAGAACTGTGTTGGCTTTTTTGGCAGCTGCTGCACTTTGCTGGCTCATATTTAAATGGTTGTCCACTAGGACTCCAAGATCTTTCTCACAGTTACTACTATTGAGCAAGGTACCACATATACTGTACTTGTGCATTTTGTTTTTCTTCCCTAAATATAGAAGATTATTTTTTTCACCATTGAATTTCATTTTGTTAGATAGCACCCAATGTTCAAGTCTGTCACGATCCTTCTGTATCTTAAGCCTATCTTCCGGAGTGTTGGCTATTCCTGCTAGCTTGGTGTCATCTGCAAATTTGATGAGTTCCCCAACTATCCCCTCTTTCAAATCATTGATGAAGATGTTGAAGAGCACTGGGCCTAAAACAGAGCCTTGGGGTACCCCACTGCATACTTCCCTCCATGTAGATGCAGTTCCATTGAGGACTACACGTTGAGTTCAGTTGGTCTGCCAATTACGAATCCATCTGGTGGTGATGCTGTCTAACCCACATTTTTCTATTTTATCTAGTAGTAGGTTATGGTCTACTTTATCAATACGTTACTGAAGTCCAAGTAAATTATATTGACAGCATTCCTCTGGTCCACTAATTTTGCCACTTTGTCAAAGAATGCAATAAGATTAGTCTGGCATTATCTGTTTTTGACCAACCCATGTTGGCTTTTGGTTATTATTTTGTTGCTTGTAGGTGTTTGCTGATTCATTGCTTGATTATCTTTTCCAGAATCTTCCCTGGGATTGAGGTCAGGCTGATAGGTCTGTAATTTCCTGGATCTATTTTTTCCCCCATTTTTGAAGATGGGAACTACATTAGCTCTTTTCCAGTCTTCTGGCATTTCCCCAGTGCTCCAGGATCTTTGAAAGATATAGTTCAGTGGTTCTGAGATCTCGTCTGCCAGTTCCTTCAGAATCTTGGGGTATAATCCATCTGGTCCTGTTGATTTGAACTCGTCTAGGGTAGACAGGTGTTCACTTACCATTTTCTTCCCTATTTTAACTTGTGTTCCTAATCTGTTTTTTGTGGTGCTGTTTTTGATAGGTTGGACTGTTTTTTTTCCCTTTTGTGTAAAGACAGATGCAAAAAATGAGTTAAGTAGTTCTGCTTTCTCCCTGTTGCTTGTCACCTTCTTGCCACTTTCTTCCAGTAATAGACCAATTGTTTCCTTGACCTTTTTCTTGTTTTTAACATGTTGGAAAAAACTTTTTTTTTGGTTATTTTTTACTTTTGTCGCAAGCCTTTGTTCATTGTGAGCCTTAGCTTTCCTCACTTCATCTTTGTAGGCTCAGGCTATTTGTTGATATTCTGCCTTAGTTCTGTGCCCCTCTTTCCACTTTTTATACTTGTCCTTTTTGTCTTTCAATTTATCAGAGAATTCTTTACACTCTGTGTGCAAATTTTCATCCAGTCTTGTTGTCTAATGTTGATAACAAAGATCTTAACAGCAGTGCTAGGAAATAGATTACAGCAAGTGATATCATTCATTATTAAGATTCATCAAGCAGGTTTCCCATTTGGGGAGAAGACCAAGGCAAGGTATAATTTCCGGAGTCCTGCTTTCTTTCCTTAACCTTTTACTATCTCAACATTTTTCCCAACAGCTCTTCCTCTTCCTTCCTTTTTCCCTTGACAGAGTCAACCTTTTTTACTTTCCTTGAAAGCTTAAGTTCCTGTTTAAGCCTTTCTGAATCTCTTTCTGCATATATTCCTACACTTTGGTGATTATATTCGGGTTATATCCCCTATAGCAATAGCAATAGCAATATCACTTAGACTATATACCACTTTACAGCGCTTTGCAGCTCTCTCCAAGCAGTTTACAGAGTCAGCATATTGCCCCCAACAATTTGATTCCTCATTTTACTGACCTCGGAAGGATGGAAGGCTGAGTCAACTTTGAACCTGGTGAGATTTGAACTGCCAAATTGCAGTCAGCTGGCAGTCAGCAGAAGTAGCCTGCAGTACTGCACTCTAACCACTGTGCCACCGTGGCTCATAAATGTCCCTTTGTACTTTTAGCTTTCTATGAATCCACAGTGATTTCCTTAGCTGTCCCCCTTATTTTTTCTCATTTGATTTTGCATCTAGTATTTTTTTTTCTGAGAAATACTGAATCCTACTGAGTTTTCTTTGACCAGAAGATTTCTGTCCATAATACTAATACCTTTCTAACAGTTCTGGTTATTTCTAAACTAGTTGAAATTGGTTGTCCACAAATCAGTGCATGTACAACTACGTCCCAGTTTCATTTTCTGTAGCATCTTAAACCTCAAGATAATCTAATTAATTCCTTCCAAAGTTCCCATTATTTTTATACTTTTTCAACCACAATTCCTATTGGTTAGGATCAAGATTTATATATTTATAGAATTAGTATTTTGAATCTTCAAGACTCACAGAGGCTGATATCAAGATACAGAAATATAATATAATGAAGTAACACCATGCCATACAACCAAAAACCAGAACAGCTAATAACACATAAAGTTGGTGAACAATCATGAGTTTGGTTTTTAAAACATCTGTAAAACCATCAAAAAAGCTGTTCACTTCAAAAAAGTGGGGTATCACAAGCAGCTTCTCTCAAAGACTTTTCAGATGAATTGAACTTGAAAACTTAAGGAGAGTCAATCCCCTTCTCACTTCTTCAGTCTTCTGGAAAATAAAACAATCAACAAGAGGTACAGTAGACTACACAGCTGACAATTCTATACGGTATTGTCCTTTACTGATTTGGGAGAATGCCGAAACAGTTTAACAGAGGAATCACAGGACCAGTCCCTCCCATGCTCCACATACAGAGGATGGAGAATTAATTGGCATTTATTACAAATATAAAGAAAGTAAAGGCAGGAAAGAGAAATTCTAAAGAAAAATCTTGCTTGTGATTCAGTTTCCTTCATGACTCCAATTTCTTTGTTTTTAACTTTATTCGGATTGGGTTCCAACATAACTGAATGCAAGAGGAGGAAAGATCATAGCAATGATTGACAGGGTCCTGCAGCCAGATCCACTCAGTTCGCTTGCTGCACTGTGATTGACCAATTCTTTTCCTGTCAGTGAATGGCACGGTGAAGAAGAGGGCAGCAATTGTTTTGTCTCTTACAGGGTGCACCAGCATAATCAGGGCAGCACCATTTGGCAGGGAGTCAGAACACACCCAGTGGCAATCGACAAATGGGTGCAGCAAATTCATAGCTTTCTGTCAGGCCAAGGACGGGTTCTAGCACTTTAACTCAGCAGTGGTGAAAGACCCTAGATATATTTCTTGCTAAACTGGAACCCACAATTGGGTGTTTTAAGCATTTCTTTGGGAGATTTAGAACCTGAAACTGATTTTGGTAGTTGAGAAAGGTAGGTTTCACATAATTTAACAATCGGTTCACCCCAGCACCGAAAATATGAGCGTGTGCGCATGCGTGTGGCTTAAAAAACACAGCTAAATAGGACAGCAAAACACGGGGCAGGTGGCTCACCCGCAGGTCACAACTACCAGTTTGCCTGAACTGCTACGTCCCGGGTGAATCCCACTCCTGGTCCTTGACTTATAACAGTTCATTTAGCAACTGTTCAAAGTTACGTCACTGAAAAAAGTGACTTGTGGCTGTTTTTCACACTTATGGCCATTGCAGCATCCCCATGGGCATGTGATCAAAATTTGGATGCTTGACAACTGGTTCATGTTTATCATGGTTGCAGTGTCTCAGGATCATGTGCAATCTTCTGACAAGCATGGCAATGAGGAAGCCAGATTCACTTCACAACCATGTATAACATACCTTAACAGCTGCAGTGATTCACTTAACAACTGTGGCAAGAAAGGTCGTAAAATGGGACAAAATTCATTTAACAACTGCCTCACTGAGCAACAGAAATGTGGGGCTCCATTGTGGTCGTAAATTGAGGGCTACCTGTATCTCTTTACATGGCTTCCTTTGTTGAGTTTACCATCAGTCAAGGAACTCCTGGTGAGAATTCTGTGACCTGGTATGGTGTGTTTAACATTTGTAGCAAACATTACTTGATAGCTTTGTTCGTCACTTGCAGTGCCTTTTCTTGCACCAGGAAAGGGAAGTTGCTACCTGTAAAGGCATTACAGTTCTGAGGTATGCTATAGTTCAATATTAATAAAGCCCTCCAGCATTTAATAACATTGGATTACCAAACAATTCAGAGTGCAACCCATTTGCCTGATGTTAAACAAATACAAGGGCTCCTGTTCCCTTGAGAGCTGCTCCGATTAGACATGTTGTTTATAATATGCTTGTTTGCTGATTGGGAGGTCAAGCATGTTTGACATTCCCAGCACTCTCTTTGCTGGGATCTCTACTTCGTCTTGGACTCCCTCTCTCTTTCTCTCTCTTTCTTTCTTTATACTCAGAAACTGTGTCTCCATTTTTAAATCAAATGTTTACAGTTCGGAAGTTGCCTAGATAATTTTAACCATCTGCCATACCTCGAAGAAGGGAAGGCTTTAATTATTTGAGTTTTTAAAAAGTGACCTTTTCAAAAACCTCAGTTCTCTTTTTGACACTTTGGGATTTGGAAACGAGTGCTTACTTGAGACATCTGGATACAAACAAACAGCCCAAATGAAATAAACAGTGCAGTGTGTATCCTTCATGCATCACTAAAAATAATATATGATAGCTCATATCAAGCATCTTGGTATTTGACACATGCGTGGTTGGCCTGACCAACATAGAAAAGAGAGAAGCAGGACAAACCTTGTTTCTTTCCTTCCACACCTGCCCTTACAGGAAGAAGAGAAAAACTAGTCTTTAAAGAACCTGTCTACATATCATCCTGTTAATCAGGATCAGAATCCAAATATGTACATGCCTTAAAGGTAAGGAGGAAAGAATTATAATATTTTTGTAGAGTATTTGAACGTTGTACATACTCTTGAGATTCTGAGTGATTTGTATATTCTCGGGATAATCTAACCAACTAAAGGCATTAGATCCATTATTCTTCAGTTTCTACCTTCATAATTTTAATCTTTAATAGGGTACCTAGTTTTACATTGGTTTCATTCTTCTTTCTTTCTTTCTTTCTTTCTTTCTTTCTTTCTTTCTTTCTTTCTTTCTTTCTTTCTTCTTTCTTTTTCTTTCTTTCTTTCTTTCTTTCTTTCTTTCTTTCTTTCTTCTTTTTGAATAGTTTTTACTGAAAATTTTACTAACAATATTAAAAGAAAAAGCAATCCTAAACTCAGAAAGAAAGGTTAAGAAAAAAGAGAATACAGGTAGTCCTTGACTTACAACCATAACTGGGACTGGAATTTCAATCATAAGTTGTTGTGGTTGCAAACTGAGTCAGATCTGATTGTATGACAATTTTTACAGCAGTCATTAAACTGCAAATCATGTGGTTGGTAAAGGAATCCAGTTTCCCCAATGGGCATTTTTTTGCTATTTTTTTTGCCCAAAATTAGCAAAAAAGGTTGCAAATTGCAATCAAGTGACTGCAGTGTTGGGATGATGGTTATAAGGGCAAGTACAGGTTGTAAGTCACTTTTTTGACGATGATCATAACTTTAAACTACTGGATTTATTTATTTATTTATTTATATGCTGCCCTTCTCCGGAGACTCAGGACGGCTTACAATGTGTTAAGCAATAGCCTTCATACTTTTGTATATTTTGTACAAAGTCATCTTATTGCCCCCACAATCTGGGTCCTCATTTTATCTATCTTAGAAAGGATAGAAGGCTGAGTCAACCTTGAGCCTGGTGAGATTTGAACTTGCAGTAATTGCAGGCAGCTGATGTTAATAACAGTGCTTTAATCTGCTGTGCTACCAGGGCTCCTGTTAAGCAAAGGGACATAAATTAAGGACTACCTGTAAAAAGAGAGCATTCTGACCATGACAAGGAGTTAATATTAGTATCTCTTATCTTTAGATTATATCTCAGCTTTTCAAGTTAAAAAGATATAATGAGTGACCTCCAGAGGTGGGTTTCAGCAGGTCTGACCAGTTCTGGAGAACCGGTAGTGGAAATTTTGAGTAGTTCAGAGAACCGGTAGTAAAAATTCTGACTGGCTCCACCCCCATCTATTCTCTGCCTCCCAAGTCCCAGCTGATTGGGAGGAAATGGGGATTTTTGCAGTAACCTTTCCCTGGAGTGTGGACGGAATGGAGATTTTACAGTATCCTTCCCACGCCACACCCACCAAGCCACACCCACCATGCCATGACATGCCATGACATGCCACACCCACCAAGCCATGCCCAGAACCAGTAGTAAAAAATTTTGAAACCCACCACTTGTGACTTTCTATATGAGTTCAGTTGGAGTCATGAAGACTTGGCAGCCTATGCACTAAAATGAGGCAATGGGGCTGGAAGGTGGAGATTAAGCTCACATTTCTAATCACCTTTCCTGAGAGTAGCCTACCCCTTGTCTTCCCCTGTACCCGTGCTGGCGAACCTATGGCACGTATGCCACAGGTGGCACCCAGAGCCCTCTCTGCAGGCACGTGAACCGTTCCTCACCTCAGCTCCACCGCGTATCCATGCATGCATCCCACCAGCCGGTGGGTGGGATGCAGTCAGGGGGTCACACGTGCATGTGCATGTGCAGGGGCGGGGCACACGGGAGGGTCGCGCACACATTGCATTATGTGTGTGTGCGTGCACGTTTTCGGCACTCGGCGCCGAAAAGGTTAGCCATCACTGCCCTATACCTCTCTCTGCACATCACAATCACAATCTTTCTTTCTCTTGAGACCAGCCCCAATCCCTTATAGGCAAACAGTGAGGAAGAACATTCAACTACCAAACTCTACCAACTGAAGAAAGTTATAAACCAATTGTTGAAGCACAAAGCATGATAGCCTTGAACATTTTTAGGCAAAGTAGTCATTTCTGTGCGTGATATTCCAAATCAGACAATCACCAATTTTGCTGACACAATGACACCTTGCTTCACGGATAACTGGTTGCATTCTAAAACTAATGAAGTTTCTTGGATGAGGAACAAAATGTTTTGTTTTTCCTCAAACAAAAAAAACCAGTCTTGTTGCCTTTTGAAAAAGGTCTTTTGAGACAACTATGACCTGGATGACTAAGAATTTCCACAGACATTTAAGCATAGGAAAAGCTTCTTACGTATTGTGAATAAGTAAAAAAAAAAAAAAAAGATAATAGAAACAAACCTGGGGATTAGGAAATTGGAATAAAATAAATTTAGGAATAGGAAAAATTTAAGACTATTTTTAAGAATAAATATTTCTTTTTCTGCTCGCCTCCCTGCTTGTGTCTGTACTATCCAGAAACAAATCTGTGACAACGTATTATAACATGGTAACAATAGCCATGGAGATGTAGAATTGTAGAGGCCTTTGAAGGATTTGTCACTAAGGGACACTGGGAAAGCTTTTACAAACCATGACAGAAGAAACAAACAAAAGACATTCAATGCATAAATGTCCAAGGCAAGAACAGCAATCAGGAAGAAGTGAATAAAGATACAGTAGAGCAAGAATAGACAAGGCAAGTTTTTTATAATGCAAGGGCAGGATGGAGACAGAAAAATTGTTTGGTAAAATGTAACAAAACAACATGGCTCTTCTCAGCATTGCTCATCAAATTAAAAAACCACCACCACCACCATTTACTGATTATTATTTTTTTAGCGGAAAGATTTTTTGATCAGAAGGCTCCACAAATTTACAGTTTCCTTTTCTGATTAGTTGTCCTGATAGTGCAGTAAATCAGGAAGAATCGCTAGTTCCGCATCTCTGAGATACCCCATGTACTAATTCTAACTACTTGGCTACGAAGACTAGCATAAGAATTGCCTACTGTACTTTTAGCATCCTCTGTGAAAATGCCCTGTTTGTGAACTGACTGTGTTCGGTGACAGATTGCCTTTAGAAGATTTATATTTATTTGTGGATCCTGTTTTAGAGGGGGTTGTGTTTACTGTGTATCTATTTGAGAAATGTGGTGGCTCCAAGCACCCTCTCCTGTTAATCTCTACCATTGTTTATTTTATGGCGGAGACTACTTTGCATTGTCAGGACATCATCCCTGACAATGTTTTCCTTGGCAGCTTTTCTGGGTATCAGACTTGGCCTCTCCAGATTTCTCATCATTATCTGTTGAAGAACGCTAAGCAAACTTAGGCAATGTTTGCTAATGACTTGTGGCAAGTCGGGGAGGCTTAATGAAGGAAACCTCCAAGAAGCTTATTACTGGCAAGAGACATTTGTGGAGCCATGAAAATTTCACCATCCCACTCCAGAAATAGATATTTGAGTTTAGGAGTAGTCAGGCTTCAGGCTTATTGAATCTATTGGGGTCCCAAAGCAGTGGTGAAATGTAAAATTTGTTACTACCGGTTCTGTGGGCGTGGCTTGGTGGTGGGGGTAATATGACTGAGTGGGTGTGGCCAACTTTTTTTTTTTTTTACTTTTAAAACCATTTTTTCTACAACCTCTTCAGCTGAAGAGGTTGTAGAAAAAATGCTTTTAAAAGCCTCTGACGATCCCAGCTGAGTTGCCTGATTGGCAGAGGCTTTTTTTCCTTTTAAAAACATTTTTTCTATAACCTCTTCGGCCGAAGAGGTTGTAGAAAAAATGCTTTGAAAAGCCTCTGATGATCCCAGTTGAGCCATGCAATCATCAGAGGCTTTTTTTTTTTACTTTTAAAAGCATTTTTTTCGACCAAAGAGGTTGTAGAAAAAATGCTTTAAAAAAAAAAAACCCTCTGGATGATTGCATGGCTCAGCTGGGCAATTGGGGGGGGGGCAGGGATTTTTGCTACCGGTTCTCCGAACCACCCGCCTCCATCGCTACCAGATCGGGCGATCCGGTCCAAACCGGGAGTATTTCACCCCTGTCCCAAAGGTATTTTTTCAAAAGGAAAAAGTGGAGGAGTGAAAGAGAAGCAAAATGTCTTCAAGGAAAAACAAAGTCCATTTGCTTTTTGAAAATGCAACATTGGGACAACCATGACCCAGATGACTGAGAATCTCCATAGAGATCTTCCAGGGCTGTGATGGCGAACGTATGGCACATGTGCCACAGGTGGCACACAGCACCCTCTCTGTGGGCACGCGAGCCATCACCCCAGGTCAGCTCCACCGCACATGCATGTGCACCTCCTGCCAGCCAGCTGGTCGTCATGTCTCTGCCATGCATGCAGGGGGTGGGGTGTGTGCGGGGAGGGGGTGCATGCACATGCATGGGGGGGAGTTTCAGTCATGGGTGCGCATTCCCATACGCATTTGCACACTTTGGGCACTCAGTCCTGAAAAGGTTAGCCATCACCAATATGAGCCGAGGTGGCACAGTGGTTAAAGTGTAGCACTGCAGGCTACTTCAGCTGACTGCTAGCTGCACTTCAGCAGATCGAATCTCACTGGCTCAAGATTGACTCAGCCTTCCATCCTTCCGAGGTGAGTAAAATGAGAACCCAGATTGTTGGGGGCAATATGCTGACTCTGTAAACCGCTTAGAGAGGGCTGTAAAAGCATTATGAAGCGGTATATAAGTCTAAGTGCTATTGCTATTGCTATCACTGTACTAGGGTGTTTATTGAATCTCAGAGCTCCTACAACCAGAACCTCAAGTACGATTTAAACTGAGGAACAAACTCACTATAAGATGTTGACCTGTATCATAATCAAGAATACAATTCCTTCTCTCCATCTCTCCTCACCCCAAGCCATTTTTTTTCAGAGTATAATAAATGGGGGGGGGGAAGGGAAAGGTTTATCTGGAGTTTGCAACAACCACCAACAGCGGCATGTTGCTTTTTAAAAAGATAGGCAAGGCAGAAACAAAACCCTAAAATGCAGTGTAAGAATACAAATTAAAAGCGATTGATGGTCTGCCACTTTC